TATATGTCGTCGAGTCAGACCCGACTCATAGCTGCCCCTTCTTGGGTTTCCGAGGCAGTATCACTATGGAAGTAGATTGCCCCATCTTCCTTCTGAGGTATGACTGGTGGGTTTGAACTACCAGCCTTCTGGTTAGCAGTCAAGTGCCTTAGGCACTACGCTACCAGAGCTCCTAAAATACATATGTATATATATACATATACATATATATATATATATACACACACATATACATATATATATATATATGTATATATATATTACAAGAGGAAATCACTTCTGTAATGAATCTAGGGTGACAAAAGTTTTCATGGAAATAATTTATTAGAAAGAGATAGAAAATTGACACCTCTTTTGTATAATCCAAATTAAGAGGTAAGTTGCTTTTGCTTTCCTTTCTGATATGGAATCATCGCATCGCTTTTTCATGTGTTTGTTATTGATGTTCAGATTTAAGAGTCCTCATATCCTAAGGCAGGAGGAACATTTCTGACAATACACAGCACAATTCTAGATATTTTATTACTTCAGTGATTTCTCACTTGTTTCCATTTTCAGCTGACAAAAAAATACAAAAGCCCTTTCATGATATATTTTGTTATATTTAACCATCCAGAAATATAGCCAATAAGAAAAAAAAAATTGATTTTAACGTGAGAGGGATTATAAACTCCTAGAGGGCAGCTCTATTTGCCTTGCCCTTATTTTGTATCGCCATTCAGTTCGCAGTAATCCGCACACAAGGGAATCTTAGTTAAGAGTGACAGTGGACTTACAACACACACTGGCTTGTGGGTAATCTAAGACACAAACATCCTGGTTTTATCGGAATTCTCTTTTTAGAGAAGAAAATGTTTCACATTTTAAATAGGGGATGATGGATATGGGCAAAGTTGTAGTGGAGTAAAGCCACAAAATAAAATTTTATGAGAATATGTGATAAATGAATCATAAAATATTTCATGAAATTTGAGAAGATATAATAAGATGAGGAAATTTAGAAATGAAATTTGAGTTACGTATACATGGATGTCAAGAGTTCTGGTAGCATAGTGCCTAAGGCACTTGATTGCTAACCAGAAGGCTGGTAGTTCAAACTCACTAGCCACCCCTCGGAAGAAAGTTTGGGCAATCTACTTCCATAGTGATAGCGCCTCGGAAACCCAAGGAGGGGTCACTATGAGTTGGATCCGACTCGATGGCACATAACAACAACAACAGCATACATGGATGTCAGCTTTTCATACGGTTAAACGTAGGATCGTAGTGGTGCCTGTGTTTGATATGAGTCCCAACATTTTGGGACAGCGTTGGGATTACAGGCAGCTGTTGTTCGCTGTTGTCCTGTAGACCTCTCAGATAGGGTCTCCCTGCCCAACAGCCTGAAAGGCTGCCTTGTCCTGTGTCATCCCTATCATCAGTTACAGGGCAGTTGTGAAGTGGACCTTTACGAGCTGAAGGATTTTCATTGGCTTTCAGAAGTACTTCGCCAGGGCTTCCTACCAATTCTGTCTTCGTCTAGAGCTTTCCTGAAATCTTCTCATCATCACAGGAATACATAAACCTCCAGGGACAGATGGGTGGTGACTGCACTTGAGGTGCATTGGTTGGAAATAGATTCCAGGTGTCTTACATGGAAGGCAAGAATTCGACCACTGGATCATCAAAAACACAGAACAAAAACTGCCATCAAGTGTTTCTGACTCACAATGGCTGCCACCGGTTTCCAAGGCTGTAAATCTTTACATTGGCAGCCTGCCTTATCTTTCTTCCATGGAGGTGCTAAGGGTTTGAACCACTGACCTCTTTGTTAGCAGCCAAATACATTCATCATCCCACCACCAGAGCTCCTTATTGTCACTATTAAGTGCAGTTAGTGACTGGGAAAGAGAGCATATGTCAGAGAATCAAAAAGCTTAGGATGATGCGGGGTACTGTCTTTGGCAAAGATTTCCTCGAGTCCTTTTATGTTTGCTGCTTTTTTCAGTACTTTTCCATCTATTTCCCCATCTGTGCTTTTCACTTTGCCTGTCATATTTCAGTTCTTTATATCTCTGCTTTATTTTACCATTTCAGAAGAGAAACCAAGCTAATGCTTCCTCTAATCTCATGCCTGCCAGTAATGTTAAGGTCAGTATGAAGCCCCAATGTCAGGGGGAATAGCTCTGTAGCAGTATTTCAATAATGTCAACTCTTTGACAAAAACATTTGCTGAGTTTCTTAGCTAAATGATCTTCTTTCATCCAAAAACAAAACAAAACGTTCTTTTCTTTTGCCTTCATTTAACCCCAAAGAATGGTTAAAAAAAAACATTATCTTTCTTTCAGTCATGTTGGCCTCAGCACAGACGAGTTAACGGCACAATATTTGGTGGCATCTGTGAACCATGTCAGTGCTTTGGTCACGCAGAGTCCTGTGACGACATCACTGCAGAATGCTTGGTAAGTGCTTTTGCCTTTGGGAATGCTGATTGACAAGGCTGAAATCAGCTCAATCACTTACTACTTTTGGGACCTTAAATACTTGAGTCAAGAGGTCATTTGACAGAGATCTTTATATTGAACTGAGCTGGAAGCTGAGAATGCCCTTTCCTGTGTGATGTCTCTGACTAACAAGTACTAGGATGTATTTATTCATATTAGTCATAGAAATGAATTAGAATCAGATACATCATTAGATAGCTTGAGTAATGACTGAGCTATGTATCTACCATGAATATATATAGTTTTATTCACTTCCATAAATCTACCAAAGATAGACTATATGTCTAAAACAGGAAATGATTTGTATCTCCATACTATGAAAAGTGTAAAATATAACCTTTTTAATACACATTAGTCACTTTTATCCACTTTAAAAATGAGAGCATGCTGTGTGATTTTCATTTAAGAGTTTAACTAAATGCAAAGCTTTGTAAATAGATTAAAAATAATAAATACATACAGTACATATTCACTAGAGCTGCTTACTTCTTCCATAATCATCTCTACTTTTAAGGAGGAAAAAAATAAGGTCTACAAAGGGCAGAACACGCCATTCTTCTAAGAAGCCTTTGGATTGGTGAATTACTCTGACTAGACTATCAGTTTAACTCAAGGGCATTTCTGTTTTCTATTGTCTGACATGGCATGAAGCTTGAAACAACACTTCTCATTTCATTAGTCTTGCAGAAACACAATTTGAAATAGTGCCAATGTAAGAGGATATCATATTCTCATTTCCCTGCAGAATTTAAGGCAGACTGTTATCTTTATTTCTTAATGTTCTTTCTTTCTCTTGCTCTTTTTTTTTTTTTTTTTTTTTCCTCTACTTAAAAGCTTCTGGGAAAAATCCAAAATGAAAATTCAGGGACTTTTCTTTCAAAGTAATTTGACATTTATGTTTATTGATGCTCTTTTTCTTTTCTCTATATAAGATTTTTTCTAAAATTGCATTTAAATTGCATTGCAGTACAAAGTATGATAACCTTAATTTGTGGATCAGTAGATTTTTTCAAATGGTATTTTTATGAATAGAAAGACTATATGATTTTTATTTTAATTAGACCATGAGTCTCTTAAAATGTTCTTTTGGAAAAATATTATCTTTAAATTCTTTACTAACATGAAATAGGAAGAATTAAGCAAAAACTGGTAGGGAATTTGCTTTACTTATATCTTAAATGACAAAATAAATATATCTTGATATCAAATTTATGATGTTTCCAATAGTAATTTTTCATATTGAGTTCATTAGAATGAAATAAAATTGTGCTGATTTTCCATTTGGTTATTTGATATTTCTAAGAATGGGGGCTATGTTTTTTAAAAATAAAATTGTTTCATCTAGGATAATTTTAGGGGAGAGAAGAGAGGCAACTGTGATACTTGGGGTCTTCTGAACCTTAGCTTCTTATTGAGTATTTCATGGACAGGGAGACAGGAATCCATGTTTATGTTCATACAGCAGAGACAATCTTGAGGGAACCTTGGAGAGCTTAAGCATAGAGACAGACTGGCCGGGAATTTCCATCGTGGCTGGTAGATAGATGATCATGTGGGGTATTTTGGGGAACCTTTCAAATGCCGTTTATCTGAAACAGTACTTGTAACTATGTACCGATATATAATTTTGAGCATATTAATTCTGATAAGATCCACAAAGAGAAAAATGCTTGAATTTTTTATGCTAAGGAATTTTTTAATGTTCACTTAAATAAGCCTTTTGTTTTCCATTTAATTCATTTTTCCCCCCAGCATTAATCAGCGAATTCATAAATCTTGGGTAGCTTTAAAATATGATTAGAAATCAACTGAAATACATTTCTGACATCAGAGAAAAGTCTAAATCTGTGCTATAGTGTATACTTATTCAGAGACATCATCTTAACTCACATTTTCAAGTGACCCAGGAAACATTTGAAACCACATAGGAATATTGATCGCACAACCACTCCTTCTCATTATCTTGTGATATATGATGTGAACAGATAACATTTGGAAAACACATCTGTGGCAGGACACCTGTGAGAAGAACCACTCCATCAGAATGGACCACCATCTTTTGCAGTTTTGATTTCCATTTTATTGGTTGTCTAAATACTGTTATAGTTTCCTTTGAAAAACACTTGAATTTTAAGATTGCTTTGATTATTTTCATTTAATGAAATGACATTCAGAAAATGTAAGAAAATTCTAAAATGCCATTTCTCTTTTGGATTGGTAATATCCAAATTTGATTTGTATTTGGTAAATTTAGAGAACTGAAGTGAGTGATTTACACCCACTCTTCAGTGGGTCTCAGAGTTTTAAAAACACGTTTTCAGACATGGTTATTATATAATCAACTTGTGATCCTACGTTTTAAATCCCCTCAGTTTGGAGATATAATTTTGATTATGTTGATATAACAATATGCAAAGAATTTTGGAGAAAACACATCATTTTTTGTTTATAGATAGCTGTGACTAAACTTGGATCTGAAAGATACAATATCAAGATCCAATCAAAGGAGAAAATATTCTCCATAGTGATTCATATTTTGCATGTTTCATTTCAATATGGTGTGTTGTTTAGGTAATTGTTAAAAGTCAAGTTAACCTTTGTGCTACTTTTGAGCATAACTTGCTACAGCAGCTTGAGAGACAATTTAAAATAATTGAAAGAAAACCACCTTCTAGTATCATCAGATATTACTGAATTACCTATTAATTAATAGTTGATAAAACTGGTATGGGATTTCAGAGTGTGAAAAGTTTACAACATATCTACTCCTCTCTTTTTGACTAGTTTACTACCTAATATTTTGCATTTATGGCAAATGAAAAACCTACTATACAACTATTTTTTACATTAACATTGCATGTCTGACAGTAATGAAAGGATATGAGGCTAGTGTAAGTAACACTGGCTGTGATGGTAAAGTTGGTTGTCAACTTGGCTGGGCCGTGATTCTCATTGGTTTGGCAGTTATGTAATGATGTAATTTGGCAGTTGTGTGATGATGTAATTTGGTAGTTATATAATGATACATATTCCATTTTATGATCTGATGTGGTCATCTCCCATTATTGCATAATGCAGATTTTCATATAATGATCTGGTCTTTGGAAGTTAATCATGTCAATAAGTGAGGAGTAACTGTAAATCATTGACTTTAGCTCCTTAATTTTACAGAATGTAAATCAAATTGGAAGCTCAGAGGGTTAAATGATTTGATTATAATTCAAATATATTACACTCAATAAAAAATTCTCCCTCCCAAGGGCCTTTACAAAACTGTAATAAAAAATATGTCTATATTTGTGTGTGAGTGCTACTTCCCTAGTGATACTGCCTCGGAAACCCAAGGAGGGGTCGCTATGAGTCGGGGCCGACTCGATGGCAAACAACAACAACTTTATTAAATACATTTACTATATTTAATTGAACTTCAATTTAACTTCACTTTAAAGATATATTGAACTAAGTAATAATTCGGAACTTTCATTAGCTTAAGCTGGTCATCTGAAGGTCATCCAGATGAGTACATTATTACTTTATATTTAAAGTGCATTTATATTTACTAACTTTCTCCACCAGTTTGGTTATTGACAATAAAAAAAAAAGCCTTTGTACCCCCTGAGTTCTGCTGAACTTTTCCAACATGGGAAAAAATGAAATTTTATGTACTTACAAATTTAAAAATGTATTTTTCATAATGACTGTATACTATACAATTTGAATAGAAATAGATATGTTTTAATGTGCTGTTGGAGACTGAAGAATTATCTTTATGTGGTCAAACATCCTACAGACTGATCAGGTTGTACTCTTATAAGCTTTATAGATAATTCCACTGCTTGATTAATGGAACTGTTTAATCTGTATACCAGCCAGTTTTCCTGAGTTTTGTTAACACAGCCTGAGTTGATTAGTATGAATAAATCTAAACCTATTAATTTCACTTTGATTCTGTATTTTTGAAAAAGATATAGGTCCAAAAAATAATAATTGGCCATAAAATGCAGTTTAATTTTCTTTTAAATGTCTGAGGAAAATTGTTATATACTTGGTGTTTCATTATATATTAGTACATGTTTTAAATTTTTCTGTTTTCTTAATGTTTAATTATAAGTCAGGGAACCTCCTCACAGGTATAATACATTAGTGTATTGTCCAAGCCATGAGAGTCCACCAAAGTCACAATTAATGTCTGAGTTAAGAGGGTGATAGTCCCAAAGGATTTGCATAATTAGCCACAGTCCTCATTAAATCAGCAGTTTTAAGCTGAGCAATTGATTTTACCTAGAATCAGCTACAATTTCTGTTAAATATATGTTATTAGGTCCCCATGACTACATGCACACATACACACACACATATACACAATCACACTCATTTTCACTGGGAAAAATTGAAAACTAAAGGAAAAAGGAAATAAGACTTGCAAGTGAAAACAATGTATAATAAATTTAAGTCATTTTTTTTGCAAGTATATATATGCTGAAAGGAACGTGTAGTTTATAAGCTGGATATTAAATTAACTTTCACTGCTATTTCCTTGCTGTCAAATTGACCATTTAATGTGGAAAAATTGCTCTTCTGGGCAGGCAACAGACTAATGAATTTGTAGACCAGTTTTTGGCAGCATGTTGATGCTTGAGACCAAAATGATGAACTCTGATGTGCATTTCTTCCTCAGAACTGTAAAGACCACACAGGTGGCCCATATTGCAATAAATGTCTTCCTGGTTTCTATGGCGATCCTACTAAAGGTACCTCTGAAGACTGTCAGCCCTGTGCCTGTCCTCTCAATATCCCAATTAACAAGTGAGTAACAAACTTAATTCTCTAATGACTTGTACATCCAGGTCTGCAAATGTACTTTTGATATACAATGTGCCCTTTTTCTTGTCACACTAAATTCATATACATAAACTTCTCAGCAGGAGAATGTGAGCTTTTCTAAACATAAACTATTTAATGACTATTCTTCAGAATTATATTATAATTCTAGTTTTGGTGATTTAGTATCTAAGAAGGAGAAGTCAAATAGAATTTCATAAACTATCCACGATGAACAGACTATTTTAATGCAAAGATGAACACACACAAATACAGACACACAGCTTCATGGATTATATAAAAGTACACTGATTTCAATGCTGGCCATTTGAGCCATAGTCTCACACTACTTGTTTGTGAATCAATATGTGGGTAAGTCTTGTGGATAAATCTCAATCTCTTCAGAAGTAAAATTAAGGAATTGACCTAGCTAGCCTTTTAGTACCTATTATATCCCCTATTTATTACACAGTTTATTTAATATATTAATCTATGTGGTATTATGATCTTAATTTATATAAACAGTTTTGAGCTTGAGGTTTAAGGTAAGCATTATACAATTTTTTCTAGTCATCCAATCTTTTTATATTCCTAGCTGTTTACCTAGAATAATAGCCTCTTGAAGCAGATTTTTTAAAACATACTTCGGTTGCTACTTCCCCTTGGCTTTTAGGAGAATGCGTTATTCCTTCCAGCTGTTCTGATTCAAATTCCTGCAGAGTGGCCACCTCTAAGTAAATAACTAAGAAATACTCTGAAACAATTTTTTTTTTTTTTTTTGGTAGAATGTTATATTGAACCAAAATCAATCTTAAATAACTATGTTTTTAAACAAAAAGGTGGTTTTTTTTTTTTTTTTCCAGAGAACCCCATTATAGTTAGGGTTATAATAGGCAACTTCTAGCTAGTTTCTAAATGCTGTTATAATACTTGAAGAGCAGAAATTTTTAATGAAATAAATTCTCTGCAGGCTTTCAGTGTGAAGGCATGTTCAAGTAGAGCATACTTGTTTGCTCTTATCTGAGATACTACTAGTAAAAACAGATTTTTTTAATACTGCAAGCTAAAGACTTTGAGAGTGATTCTGCCATTAACTTTAAAAATTCTAATTGGAATCATGGTTTCTACTCTTCAACCCATATGAATTCCTTATCCTCCTCCCCAAATCCTCCCATTTCAGAATTTTCTACCTTAGTTATTGTTTACAAAAGAAAGAACTAATATTTAATAAAAATAGATTACTATAAGTAGACATAGGGCTGAGATGTACATTTAATGTAATTTCACCTTTAAAAACAATCCAACAAAATACAAATACCATTTGACCCAGCCATCCCATTACTAGGTATATACCCTAAAGAAGTGAGAGCCATAACAAGAACAGATATATGCACGCCGATGTTCATCGCAGCACTATTTACAATAGCCAAAACTTGGAAACAACCTAGATGTCCAACAACTGAGGAATGGATAACCAAACTTTGGTACATTCACACAATGGAATACTATGCAACGCTAAAGAATAATGTAGAATCTGCAAAACACCGCATAACGTGGATGAACTTGGAGGACATTATGCTGAGCGAAATAAGTCAGTCACAAAAGGACAAATATTGTATTAGTCCGTTATTGTGAAAGTTAAGGAAAGGTTTATATATTGGAGGACATTTTCTTTGTTGGTTACCAGGGGTGGGAGGGAAGGGGAGGGAATGCTGTTAGATAGATAGAGATAAATATTGATTTGGGTGAAGAGAAGGGCAATGTACCAAATGTGAGTGACCAATATGGCAGCATTGAGGATGAGAAAGACAGAGAGAGTTACATGGGAAGTACAAACAACAAATATGAACCCCTTTGTAAATACAATACTGAGTTGTCAATGAAAGCAAACATGGGTATAGGGACGGATAGATGGGTGAACAAGCTAAACAATTATGTATGTCTAAATGGAGAGTGTATCCAAGATCATATACAGGGTTGGCAGACAATGGGCCTCTCGAAGAGTATGAAGGGATGGACACTGGGAGGAGGTAACTATGGGGAGGAAGTGGGAGGGGAGCTGCTGCATTGTAAATTTTGGTCAATGACATGAGACAAAGTATATGTGAACTGCTGTATGAAAAGTGAATTTACTCTGTAAATCTTCACCCAAATCCTAATTAAAAAAAAAAAAAAAAAAAACAATCCAACAAGGTAGGTATTTTTACCACCATTTTACTGATTTTTCCAAGGGAAAAAATATCATTATGGTGTCAATTTTGGAGCCAGATTGTCTTGACTTCTTTAGTAGGTTCCACACATTGTAGCAGTGTGACATTTTGTAATTTGCTTAAACCCTCTGTGCCTTAGTTCTCTCATTAGTTGTGACAATAGAACCTTCTCATAAGGTTATTGTGAGGATGCTGTAAATTAAGATATATAATGTAAAACAGTCATAGAACATGGTGAGTCCAATGCAAGGGGTGGTTATTAATAAATAACTTTTTCAGTCAATCTACAATCTACACGGGCTGTCTTTAAATAAATAAATAAATACACATTGCATTTTAAGTGACAACACTAAAACCAATTAACCAATCTACCAGATAAGAAAAGTCCCTGAAAAATGGGCTTAATGTATAATTAGAGACCATTTTTGAGCTGCGCTCTTTTGGCAATGAAAGATATCAAAGGAAAGGATAAAGGTGAGAGGGGAACTGCCAAAGGGGCAAGGAGGCTGCATCTTCTGACCTCCTCTAACCCCACAAGAGGAAGACAGAGTCACCATCAGTAGTCCAAGACCTATCCCTGCAAAGCCAGACATGCTGCCTCCCTCCAGCCTTTTCACCAACCCTGACACCAACCGTTTGTCCTGCAGCACCCACCACCTCTCTGCTGGGTTTGATAATTCAATAATTCACTGCAGTGGCCACACATAAGTCACAGATTATGGGGTTTAATAGGTAATCACCAGGCTACAATTCAAGTTCAGGAACAATGCTCAGTCTCTCTCTCAGCAGTGTGTGTCTCTCAGGAGCGTGTTTCTCTCAGCAGCATGTCTTTCTCAGCCAGCAGTCAGAGAGACTTTTTCCGCTTCTAGGAGGCCTCATTTGGAGCCTGGCAGAGTGACCAAACTAACCAATCCCAACATCAGAATTCCATATGCCTGAGAGAGAGCGAACTTCCCAGAAAATTACTTTGTGCTGCTCCCAACAGAAATACCCCAGGTGGATAACTAACAATTCAGAACTACCTGGTTGTTTGCTCATGGCAAATTCCACCATGGAGTTCACAAAGAATTATGGCTAGAAACGCCACATTATGCAATTTACTACACTGCAGAAACAGAATGAAATAATGAATATGGGACAACAAATTAAATGAATTCTTTCATAATAAATGTCTATCAGCCATGTGTTAGCCAAAATCTGACAGCAACTCTTGCTCTTTGGCACACACATGAAAGGTTAGTTTAAACTGTGCATGGCCTACTCATTCACTGTGACTAGATGGAATTCTTAGGAACCATTGACACAGTACAAAATGTGTGACTCTTACTTTTGCTGAGGAAAGCAGAGAAATTGTATCTGCTTTTATGTGCATTGCATCATCTTCTCAGTCAAAAAGTCATATACATTTGTACACTTGTCCATCCAGAAGAGTGACCATACATTTTACCATGTGAATTGTAGGCAAATACATTTTTAGAGCTAGTAATTAAATGAATATGCAGACATTACAGATTCACTCTCCAATGTGACCAACATTACAATAAATACATTTGAGCCATTAAGGAGAGAACTTTGCTTGCGTAATTACAGGCAACGATGACCCATCCTTGTGTCTATGTTTACTGTGCTTTCACTTTGATAATGGTTCTGATGTGTCCCTGAAAGAAAAAAGAAAGTCAGCAAACATTGAAACACCAAACATCAGTGGTAAAAAGATTGTGGTCCCAGTGTCTACCATTGATATATATTAAAATATGTATATTCCAACTTGATACAGTTATACTAGTCTTGATTTTTTTAAATAAAGATAATAATAACAATATCAGTTATACTGTGTTTAAAGATGCTTTAATTTCCAAGGTGCTTTCACTTAAATTATTTAACATTATCAGAAGAATTGGTAATAGTTTATAACTTATTTTAATTTTCATTTTAAATGTAGCATTTTCATTAGTAGATAGAAGGGACAATGACAATCCACTTTTAAATCCTAGACTTTTGTGTTTATAGTTATAAACCTTTAAATATAAAAGAATTTAGAAAAAATTATCATGACCTAAATTCTCAGTTATGAAGGGAAAAAATCTATTTTCATCTAATAATGAGAAATATTTTTTAAAAAAATCACAAAATGATGAGACATATAATGATCTAGAGAAACTCTCATTCATTTAGCAAAAAACTTTAAAAAAAATCACTGCTGTTGTCAACTGAGTTAGAAACATTTTAAGGAATAAATTGAGTATGTGCATATTGTCAAGAAGGTAGAATTAGAATTTTATAGGTTATTGAGAGAAAAAGAGCTAAAGGTTGCTGCAACCTTCATCTGGAAGTGTAGGGCTTAGGGAGAATTTTGCCTCGGTAATTTATCTGTTTAATCCTTGGTCATAAATCTTATAGATCACAAGTATTTTGGCTCCAAATTTCTTAGATAATATTGCTAAATAAATCAAATGTGTAGAGAGATAGAGATAGACTGGTATAATTATTATGATGTATGAATACAGACAAGCATATAATATTTGAATTATACATATATATCAACTTTGTCAACTATTTACAGTGTCCGATATTTGCTTGTCCTTCTCATCCTACTGATATATATATATTCTAACTATAGATTGTAACTAGGTAGTGAAATTCATCTCTAGAGAAACAAATAAAAATGTACATATTTCAAATGTTTTATATTCATTAATTTTTAGACTCACATTGTTTATAACCTTAATATGACATGAAAGAGACATATGAATTTCTGCCCTTGAACACTTAGGA